GTATTTGTTGAAGTATATGGAATCCGTGGTCATTTTGATACCTCCACAAAAATATCAAACAAACTGGAAGACAAAAAGACGGATAAAGTTTCGACGCCCGAACATTTTATATTCAGACGATGATCTATTGTATGGCTCTCGGACAGTATATTGTGTTTGATTTTTTTCCAAAACTCTGTTAGACTTAATGATAAAAAGAGCTACAATAGTTTGCACAAAATTTTGAGCGATCAAATATTAGCCTATAGAAATTTCATGATATAGATACTCAATCGAGGTTTTGTTGGCGTAGGTCTTTTGGATTTGTAAAACCAAGCATGTTTGTGTTCTAGTGTTAGTGTGCAGGATGTAGATGTTAAATCTTGTTTGATTTCCACTGAGATTTTGGACTTCTGTGCTATGAATGATTTCTACCAAAGCATCTTTCCAATGCTATAGAACTGGATTGCCTGAGATAATTTGGCCGTGAAGCAGCGCATGGTGTTGTTGGGAACATATACATGGAATATTTACTTGGCAAAGTTAACTAAAATTGGTTATTCATAATTCGACGCTTCTGCTTTCCGAAGAGTCTCTCGAAATTAAACGAACGTCTAAAGAGATCGAGATCTGTTGATTTCTGGAGTGATATTTCATGCAACGATTTGGCGAAAGATAATGATGTTTTGTCTCTTTGTTGCAAACTCAGATTGGAGATGGCATCGATGACAGAATTCACCACCAAGTTTTGGCAGAACATAAGACTGAGTTTTGGGTAAACTTTTTCTGTACTTCACCCACAGAGGTAGCTTTTGTAGATCTTGAAATGTATAACACTACGAATAAGAGGTCGCTGATGCTGCCTTATTGAACCGCATGATCGTCATTTTCCTTTATAGAAGTGACTTGCGAAGCGTCGATCTAAAAATCCTTTCTTTCCAACGCACTTTAACTTCTTTGACTTTGAGTGTGCCTACTTTACGGGGTCTTTCATTGATCATGCTTTTGATATCGTAAGCGTTGTTTTCGGTTTTGGTCACTCGTAATTCGTGCAAGTAAAGAAATCCTATTAAGTCATCTCCGTTCATATTTTTTAATGTATAGACGGGAGGATGACAGTCAGACAATCGTCTATTGACACGAAACTCTTTGACAGTCCAGTTTAGTAAATAAACTTTGTAGAAGATGACTTTAGTATTTCCAATATACACTCAATCTCCATCCATTAACAGGTCAAAAGTCTTGGTGGAAATAGAAATCTTTCAAACAAGTGGACAAATACGGTTACTTCGTTGTCGGTGGTCATTATATGGGGGAGGAAAATGTTCAATGTTTGGATGGTAATACTGATTGTAGGATTTGACCAGGGTCGGTAAAATGCCAATGTATTTGAGGGAATGTTGATGCATAAAATATTTACACATGAGTTCTTTCAAAGTGCATTTAAAACGTCCACAATGTTGTCTTTGAAGTTGAGATTTTGTTGGTGATAAAATGGATGTTTCTTTTCTACAATTGTTTTGGAAAACTTTTTTTTAGAAATGTGGTGCATTTATTTTCCATCGGAGAGGGTGACTACCGCTTTATTTTAACACCATTTTTAATGATTGTACTAACTCGAAGGTCATGTTTGAAGTTAAAGGCATTACCCAAGCATATTTTAAAAAAACGTCTATGACACAAGACAAATATTTGTAGCCGCAATTGGACATAGCTAAATGAGAGAGATTGGCATTCCGTTGTTGATCAACGTTCTCCATTTTGGTTCCACTTCTGGAAACATTTCGTTGAATGCGTTTGTGTAACGTGTACGTCACTTGGTCTTGTAACCAACTTTGCACCTGGCGTAAACACACACATTTCATTTCGTACAATTCCTCACACCCTTAACATGGATTGTAGTAAATGCTTTTAAAAACATATAATACCAGAAATCTCTTACATAAGTCATCCACTGCTTACTGATGATTCTTTTGGTTTTGTAATGCTTGATAACTTATTTACATGTTCGAAGTGCCTTATGAATAGGAGTCAAATGATCACTCCTTTCTTGTTTTCTTGTTTTACTTCTGGCTTCCCTTATTTTTTTTTTTTTTTTTGCTTCGGTTGAAGAAGGAGTCGATATCATCTTTTAAACCTAAGCTTTCAATTCTTCTCGTTGTGGAGTGGGGTAAGGTGCCAACAAGGACGCATCGATCGTAATAATTTGAATGACTTTTCGTGAGTCTTCTTCCTTTGGTATCCGTGTCGCTGCGTCTGGCTTGGTCATATTGGGTGGTGATTGTGGTGAATGGCGTTTTATCATGGCTATTAAATATATCGTGGTCGGTTAATTGTTCCCTCTAAATCTTTCTGACGAAAGAATTGAAGACGTTGCACAACGTGTTTGCACCTTTGCTAATTTTCCATTTCTGATAAGAAAAAAACGTTCGATTTATAATTGTTATTTGTGTTATAATGTTGACAACTCTGTCAAATTAGGATTGGGAGGTAAATGATGGGCCCGTTATTCTTCCCAACGATGGAATTCCATCCATCCTCTGGGGGAACCTAAGGTCAGTTTTCGTCCTTCAATGAACTTCCAAGGTACACATATGACGTCTTTCCAGGTAGGGGTTATTTTCCTCTTCTTCCTCCTTTTCTCGCCTTGGTTTAAAACTTGTCCAATATGCCCTCCAAACAAACAAACAAAAGAGCAGCCACTCCTTTGAATAAGGGTTCTACCATCATGTGTAGAATTTCTATAAAATGCACTAACATTCTTATTTTTACTGATGGTTATTTTATTTTTGAACATTGTCAATGAGCTTCTCGATGTTTTTCTAAGTGTTATTTCTGTTCTTGGGACAAAGGTATCACTCTTTACATAACGTTCAAACAACATTAACACCTGTCATCGATGACTTATGTACTGGCTGCTAGAATGGGTTGTTTTCGCATGGGTTAATGGGATTTCGATGTTGAGCAACAAAGTAATACTCCTACATGAAATTCCATGGAATAGTTGCTCAATCAAGGAATGGCTGGAGATGGTCTTTTGAATTCGTAAAGGGAGTGATCAAATCTCTTCAGCACTGCTTTAACCTTTTCGTTCAGGATATCGAAGCATATGTGTATGTGTGTATATATATATATATATATATATATATATATATATATATATATATATATATATATATATATATATATATATATATATATATATATATATCTTTCATGGGAATGATTGTCCCTTGCTATTTAATACAGAGACGCTAGTCCAAATGTCGATCACTCTCACCATGTTATGCATGTCAGTTCTCAGAACATACAGAATCTCTTAGCAACATACGTGTATATGCCCTAAATGGAATAAGAAAAGCTACAAAATTAACCCTTTGATGACTTTTACCATACTAATTTATAAGCTTGGGTTCTGTTCGTGTAAGCTGAATACGCACATTACTTAAAATATAACAAATTTCGGCCCTATACTTGCTAAGTTATGACAAGATTAACCAATACACTCCATATTTAATGTTAAAAAACTAATTTGAAACACGTTAAGATATTCATGCTCGATTATATATATATATATATATATATATATATATATATATATATATATATATATATATATATATATAATTGTATTAGAATTGTCACTGAGTAAAGGTAAATAAAATTGTTTATTCATAAGTCGATGGTTCTGATTTCCAATGAGTCGCTCGATATCGAAAAGAAAAATGGATTTGCAGATATTCTAATAAAGAACTGTAGATGTTGTGATTGCGACTGTCGTAGGTGGCAAGACTACCGATATTACTGTCCGTATTATATTTCATGGATGGATTGGTAAGAAGATTACCTATGCAAGTGCTTAGAAAATGGTTAACAATTGGTTGTTGAATTGTTTCAAACTTTACTTGGCGATTGCTGCTCCGGTGACACAATACACCACGTTATGCAGAAATATAAAATTTCCATTTTAAGCACACTTTTATCCATCATTTGTAGGGCACGAAGGTCAAGTTTAATCCACCCATGAGATTCTAAAATACATGTATGACGCCTGTGTTATCAGAAGAGTTTTCTGTGCAGATTGTACAAATATACCGGTATTTTCAAAGCATTCAAACAAGATCCACGGGCGAAATAGATGATTTTTGAACATGATTTGTTAATGGTTTGCTTTACATTAGTTGAGAGTGGTATGCACATCTTTGGGGTGACATCTTTGCCTTCAGGAGAACGTAACTGAAGTGAAATGTATTGCACACTGTTTATATCCTGGAATTCGTCTCCGCTTGTTGTCATTACTGATATCAATCGACGTCGTGGTGTTTTCAATGGACTTAATTCCTGACAGTTCTTATTTGGATAAATCCAGTAAATCCAGTTAGTCTTTTTATAACAATCCTGTTCTGTCCTGGACTTTTGTTTTGGGTGAGCCGCCATTACTTTTGATCCGACACAGCTGCAGCAAAAGATCATGTTTCCGATTCATGAAAGGGAAGCTCCTTTTAAAATGAATCCATTTTTTCAATGAAATTTGGAAACATGCTTGCTAAATCAGGTTTGGCAGTAATCATGGTCAATGATAAAGCAGAAAGCAGAAAGGATTGGAGATGGCAACGTCATCGAGCAACGTGTTTTGCGACCGAACAGTAGAACTTCACCTTCTGGTAAAATATATCTTTCTCATGGGATCTTTCTTCTTATTGTGCCTTTCCTCGTTCTTGTAATGTGTACTTATTGTGGCATTGCTCCTCTTTGATTCTATTGCGGAAGAAATTTGCTTGGTTGTTGCTTGGGCATTAGGATCCCATTTTAGGAGATAACGAATGATGACACCGCCTTGGGAGACACTATTCCCAGGTTTCGAAATGATTTGTGTTTTAGCTTAAATATCGATTCTTGGATATGTCGATTTGAAAAGGGATGTATATATGAAATGAAGTTACAGACGTAGACTATGATAAGACTTCATTCAGAATGGCAACTCCTTCTGATGCCTTACAGTGCACTAAGCGACCAATCCTGTGGCCTATTGGTTAGAGCGTCCGCCTCGAGTGCGGATGTCGCGTGTTCGAACCACGGCCGATTCATACCAAAAACTTATAAAAATGGTACTAACAGGTGACTTTCTAGGAGCTCGGCATTAAAAGGTTAGTGTTAGAACTGTTTGACCTAGTGTCAGGATAATTTGACTGGATGAGAATCATGCTACATGTCTTCGGCATGATACCCATTGTTAGACATCACTACAAACTGCCTCACTGCAGACATCGTAGCAATATGACTAAATAATTCTTAAAGCTAGATTAAAATACAAATATTGTTCTCAAAATTTATAGATGGGCATGACAGTTAGCATAGGGCAAATACTATTTAGTGATTGTCGCATACAGAAAAGAAGGTAACATATAAACAGGCAAACAAGCAATGACCATATGCCATACTATGTATTAGACTAACAAGTAGTTGATAGAAGCTTCTTGATCAAACTTCCCTCTCAAAGGGTGGAAGTCAATACTGGCAAGCTATGCAATCTGGTCGAAGTGTACTCTTCAAACGGGATTTGCATAATCCATGTAATATCTGTTTTGGGAGTTTTATATCCAACGACAGTCATGATAGCCGATGCTGGCTGATGTTATGGAAATCGAAGTTTCACATTTTTTGTCACGAGTATTCTGGGCATCTTCTGCTCCAGAATGTGTCCGGTATCTGGGGTCAGACCAATAATTATTTTTCTTTATATTACCTACATGCATTTCTTCCAACTGAACTCAGACCAACATTCAAATGACATTAGGATTCCTATGGGTGACAATGTCAATACAGTACATTAACACACGCTACAACCTGTCAGTTATCACCCTTTATTTTTTAAAACACAGTATGAAAAGCCTACTACTGTTATGAATCAATTTTAGGATCAATGAAAACATAGTTTTGGATCACATTTTATTCTAACTTTACCTGTGCGCTTCCACCACACAGGCCTCATAACCAAAGCAAAAAAATATTCTGATCAAAGAATGACTAATTCCCCATCATTCCATGGTCAAATTTAATCCTTGTCATTAATATTTTACAGTAAAAGGTTCTCATAAGACAGACCTCTAAATATAGATACAATTGCATGGCTCTACACACAAAATGAAACGTGTTTGCGCTCTTAACCCATCTGCTACATATACTAAATGGGTTAGGGTGGAGGTGGGATTGGTGCAACGGTAGACATTGCGTACAAGATGAGTACTCATGGAAAAAACTCAGCTTGCGCGCAGGAAGGGTTGCAAACAAAGGGCTCAGCGACTGTCAAATATAGGTTTGCATATTTGTAGCAAAGCTGTAACCAACGGGACACTACAATCACTCTTAAAAGTCCAATACTTATGATAACAAGGATGTGGTTTTAACTTATACTGAATGTGGCAGGCGTCCGCAGGAATTTTATTATAATTCTTTATTTCGTTATAATATTGTTTTTTAGTGTACGACCGACTTTCACAGGTAAATCAGAGATGTAAAGATAATTTGCATAGCTGTTTTGAAGTTCTGTCGCTGTTTGCGATCAATAATTTATATTTTTACAACAATCGTACAGCCTACAATCTTGTTTATCATTTCCAATCTGGTTTGACTCCATTAAGATTCTGCTCCCTTTCGAATGTGTGACGGACATAATGGAATTGGTGATGAAATTATTGAATGGTTTGCAAGTATCTCTCAAACAATACGAAACAAGTTGCAATAGAAGTTTGAGCTTCAGATTCAGACTAACAACATGTCAGGGCCAGTGTTTCCCGAAGATATCTATACTTAGACCACTGTCACATTTACATTAATGATATTGTGACCTATAACGCAGTGAAAGCATATTTGCTGGCTACTAGTATTTTGAACGAAGACCTGTTCAGAATTAAAATACGGGCTAACCAGTGATTATTTGATTTTAATACAAACAAATCTCAATCAATTATCATATGCATAAAATCTCAAAGGGAATAATACCGACAATTATATTGAATGAAACCGACTGATATTAAGAATATCACTTCAAATAGACACTAGGGCCTACATTTACATAAATCCATATCTTGGTATATACATTGTTATGATTCTTGGTTTTAAAAGTAAAGAAAGACCGAAAATAACTTTTTGTAGAACTGAATTTTCCCCCTAGAATACAAAGTGAAGACGTACAAATAACTTACAGTATGTGAATGAAATCCGTAAGTCATAAATGATCTATCATTTCCAAAACTATCAAGTTTTCCAAATATGTTCAAAGAGAGTTACAAATGATGGTATGTATGTTATGAGCATTGCAAAAGAATTACTGTGATATGATCCCAGCATATCTTAAAGCCAATTCAGTGTGTTACCTATCAGCTCGTTCAAAATAACATAAAGAAAGAGAGAAGACAACATGCGTAATAAATTTTAACAAACAATTTATTTCTTTAGAAAAATACGGAGAAAATATATGAAACAAAACTTACTATTTACGAAGAAGATACAAAATATTGCCCTACAGTTGTAAGCACACAACTTATGTGAATAAAGAGTTCTAAATTGATAAAGTCTGAATCTCAACAAACAGTTCTAAATTGATGTAATCTGCATATCAGTGCCGTTCCAAGATGGCGGATAATGACGTCAGACAAAGGTTAGCACAAAATGTTCGGAATTTTCATTGTGAATCAAAATTTTAATGTTCTGCTCCAATTTGAAAACAAATCATCAAATGTCTTTTGTTTAAAAGCAGTGATGCTGTTCTCCATGGACAAGTATCATCTTTGAGAAAGTAAACTAAGTAGGACTATTCTCACTAACAACACACATATTGTTATACACAGTCGTATGAACGAAAAACTCTTTCTGGCACAGAAATACCTTTAAAGTTATGTTATGATATGACACTCCACTACGACCGACTGCTTAGGACTAAAACTGTCTTTACAGATAACCGAGTATATAAAAGACACTACTACATCGTTTCATGTACACGCACACGAAGAACACGTGTGATTTTTAAATCCATCTACGTATTTACAAAGGCGTAAACAAGTATTATTTTGAAATAGTCTTAGCTACAGATAGTAATTTACAATCTTTTCGAGACCTATTAACTTGTAATGACAAAGCCTTCATGCAAAATTCATGTTTACCCGATTCACAACTGCGTTTAAAAAATACGATGTTTTTAACATCATTATCATCATAATAATAATAATTGCAATTAATGATATAAAATGTAAAACAAGATTAAAATCAAGAATTAGAAAGCATTAAAACCCTAATAAACATGTGGTTTAACTACAGAGTCGTAACAAGTGAAATTCCGTAAATATCCAAATATTCGTCAAATAAGTGCACAGTAATTCCGTGATATCTTTTAAATATCAAAATAGTCTTTCATAGTGTTTCCTTGAGACTATTATTTTAATTGATCTGAATATTTTGAGCACTGTAATTCCAACCAACAATTAAATTAAATTAATGACTTCTTTTCAAGATAACTAAATATCTTAAGACTGTATAGACAATAATTCTCTTATATAAATTATTCAAAAGCAATAGACAACAATTCCCCGCCAGATATTTCGTGTAACGCCCTTTCAAGGGAAAATATATTTAAAGTTTTGTATCTCGTGTTCTGCCCAACCAATCGCAATACTTTCATACCAGCTGCGCACGGAGCGATTGTCTCTGCTAAGGTCTTTGACGTCAGTTCAACCAACCTCATTTTAAGGTACAGAGGTGTTGTCTTTCTCTATAGAATTCCTTTTTCTTCGTGATTATCGTTTCACGCTCTTAGACCTTCCACGTCTCCCAATTGTTTTACCCAGACAGATCCTCCTGAAAGTTAAGCATTTATTGTTTATTAACTAATTTCATTATGCTTACCTTTCTTTAACTATGCATTACTTCTCAGTCTTACTGGTTCATTCCATTCGTAAAAGATTGCAGTGTCATTTGAAATCAGAAACAGACTATAGATTGCGCCTTGATTTTAATATTCGTCGTTATTCTTGAATTTACATGCATATAGTAGGGGCAGGAGAGTCGACAAAATTGTCAAGTACGATCTGTCTGTCGTATGCAAAATTAAATCAGACATAATTGTACTTTTGATTGAGGAAAACAATTTTAATCATTACGATTCAATATCGCAAGAGGAAGTCGCGTACAAGTTCTTAGGATTAGCATATACATTGCAACGTATTGGTAAAGTACAAGTAAAATAAAAAGACAACAAAAACAATCAACACAAGCGAATGAGTTGCAACAACAAACGCTTACTTGACTATGTCTAATGGAATTATTAACTAGAGTGTTATATCGCTATGAGTTCAAACCAATTAGACATGAAATGGAATATGTTCCAACAATACTCTACAAACGATATTACAGTTAATAAACTTGGAAATACTAACTTAAGATAAATTTGCATGGGTTAAATTTAACAGGCCACCTATGTTCAAAACCTAGGCTAGTCATATGTTGGGAGTAAATTACATCAAGAATCCTTTTATATTTTGATATGAAAGAAATAGTTTGGTTTAAATATACCAATAATGTTGATGAAAAGGTGGTACAGGTTATTATTGGGAGTTCTGGCTCACTTGTCATCACTGCGTGATAACAATTGTGAGCGAAGGAGAGCTCCATGAAATTCTACTACTAGATAATGAGGGTCTTGGCTCATTGTGACGTAGAAGGGTTCTGGCTCAACTATTTATCATTGCATGATAAACGAGTGAGTAGGACATTCAACTGTAATGACTCACTTTCCTAACTGGCTCACTGTTGCCTTATGAGGTGTCATCTTTTTCCTTGGGGGTTCTCCTGCGTTTCATTTTGTCTCCTAGAATGCTTGCATGCGATAATGACCATCTGTTAGGGGTATGTTTGTAGCATAGAAAAGGTCTCTACCGTGTAATCCCTGGCATGTAAAGAAGGTACGTCTACGTACGGAGTGTTTAAAATGAAAATTAAGTGAAGAAGAGTCTTCGGCATGGTTTAATCATACGAAGGAGTTGATAGCGTATGCGAACAAGGGCGAACAAGGACCTGAATTATGTGCCTGAGA